AAATTATTTTGTATTGCTTTAGCAATCTCTTTCATAAAATCTTGAATGTATAGAAAAGGAAAAAGACTCTTATATGACCTTAGGTTGTAAATATTCAGATGCATACCTGAAGACGCATAGCTGTATCTTTAAACCCTACTCTGTTTCTTTTAAAAGATGGATGAAATAATATTCTTGAACACTGAAACAGTCTGAAAATACACAAAGAAATTGTAAATTTAAATTAAAATTATATGAAGGAAAAGTAAGTGAAAATTCTAGATTCTTTGCTAAAATAGTTAAAGGACTGCCTGCTGATAATTGGAAAAAACACTCTATAATGAAGTTTTTTCTCAAAGCTGAAAGGAAGAGCTTTCTCACAATGACATCACATTGTAGTTTAAACATCAACTTGCTGCATGAGTTCAGTTCAGTGCAGGATTATACCTAAGGGAATATTTCATCTGCCAAAAATATATTTTCTGCCTTTTTAATTTATGTGCCTAACTTTGAGCACACAGACTTCAGCATTTTGGTTCCAGCCTTTCTGGACCTCAATGCTGGTAACTATAAAAGTAAGTTTAATGCAGAATCATTAATTAATATTTATTGAGGTGGTACTATCAATTCCAACCTCAAGATTAGAAGCTACAGAGGTCAGGTATTGTGTTTCAGAACATTCAAGATAAGATTTCAGATGCTCTGGATTGTTCTCTAGAGGAACCAACGCTCTCAAGAGCTTTTAGGTTTCTAGTACAGTTGTGTAATTCAAGGGGCTATTGCAGGTGATGTGAAAATTCTTTCCTGTTCTGCTTCTTAAGAGCATTGTGAAAAATATTTTACAAAATATTAGTGTTGGGTTGTGGAGGTGCAAAGCAAAGTGTTTTGCAGATTATGAGCAATTTCAGGATATATTTTTATTTCAAACTGTCTTTCCTCACTTCTATTAAGTCTTCCCAATTCGGGTTCTTATAGTCCCCACTACCATAAAATGTATTAATGACATCATTAGGAACACCTAGCCATGAATTCAACATCATCTTAAAAAATAATGAAAAAAGGGTGATGGTGTAGTTACTCTTCAAATCAATCATTCTTTTCAATCTTTTATAGGTTTCTTGAGGGTTCATTGTTTTCTGTCCTCTTAAACCATGTCTAGCTGTTAAGTTTGCAGTAATTATTATGCAGTAATAAATTTGTACTCCAGTGACGAAGGCCTAGGAGCTCTGACTTTGTAAAGAGACATTTTTATTATATCATACTTTCTGATAAATCGAGGGACAAAGGCAGTTGGACCCAGAGTCAAAGTCCAGTTAAACATTTCAGTAATTTTTGAAGTATGCAGCCATATAGTGCAGGCAGCTAGAGGGTGGGCTCACAACTGAAGTATCACTTTAACAGCTGCTTCATTTCACTATCTCTCGGCTCATAAACTTTATTTTTAATGATCCTGCCTGTAAGACCACTAAAAAATGACCTTCACAGAGAACTACAAGGACCTACAGTGGTTCTTGGACAGTGCATAATATCACAGTGACCATAGCATAGAAAATAAGCAATATGGTGAGAAAGACATTATACTAACTGCTGATGAGAATATTCTGTATTGTCACACTGAAAGATTCTTGTGGTAGCTGTGCAAGTAATCCACTACCTTCAACTCATACTAATCTGGACATCTTCATAGGCTTTAATAGTGTTGCTCCAGTTCATATCAACTGAGTGAATGGCCTGTGATTTTAAAATTGTGTTCAGGAGCTGTAGGCTGTCTTACAGTAAGAAAATATATTACATAATAAACTGGAAATAAAGAGGCTGCTAATTCTTACCCTGCCCTGCGTGTTGCTTGCTGGTCTGTAGTCAACACTTTCTACTAATTAACTCTAATTTTCACCCACTTTCCTTGCCTAAACACATTGCAACCTTCTGTTTTGTTTTGCTGCTTCTGTATGCTGCTGGTCTAACTCAAGGCAGTGTGGGCCTGGAGGGATAGGTAAGGATCAGGGAAAGGGACTGATGCGTTGGAGCTTGAGAGGGTGAAGAGAAGGTGCTCACCAAGCTGTGTATGAGTTGGGTGGCCCAAGGAAGGAAGGAAGGGTACTGGTGCTGGTAAGCTGAGCTTCCTGGGTACGTCATTTTTTTAAAAACAATTCCAAATTGATCTGTAATTTTCCAATAATTCTCAGGTACTTTAAACCACCAGCACCACAACCCTGGCTACTTCTGAGGTAGGTGTAATAATTTAGTCCTGTGGCATTGTCAGCACTTGCTAGACCCTTTTTATCATTGTGTCCAAAAGCAGTCAAAATGTCTTGCTGAAAGCACTAAAGTGTATACTACACTTCCCACTTCTGCTGCTAGAGATCTGTAAAATTTTTCACTGAAAAAAGAGCTTTACTTTCTCAAAAGCCTAAAAACCAGTCAAAACTAAGATAATTTTAATTTATTATTTGCATTCCAAAAGCAGCTGAGACCAAGACTTCTGTGTGCTACGCGTGGTCCAAAAGCAACAACAAATTGGCCCCTGCCATCTTTAAAATGTGAGTTTAAAGTCTAGCAGGAGCATGGAAAAACAAACGGGGAGTGAAAATACAGATGGAGCAAAAAGAAGCAAAATAATGCGATATAAAATAACATGCTAAATAGTTCAACTTTCCTACCAGTGTTTTATACAAGCATAAGAGCACAGTAGAGTTTTTATGAGGACTGATCACTTGGCTGTCGTTACTGGAATTAGAAGAACCTCTTTGTTCTCTCTTAAGTTCTGCCTTCAAGTTGTGTGATGCCTTTCCCCCAATACACCCTAAGGCACGTGTTAGATTTGGGAGTTCAACTTTATGGACTGTCTTTCATGTTATGTGTCTTTTGGGCTTGGCTAAAGACACACTGAACATTGTTAATCCTCAAAATCTGGAAATATGCTCTGGGGTCAATGAACAGCTGGATGAGTTCCAGCAAAAGTTCTACTATTCTGTGTTACTGTGCTAGCTGATGCTCTTTTAATTTGCTACCCAGACACAGCGCGTGAGCAGATGAGGCAAATGGCAACATTTAACAGGAAGAATCACAAATCAAGTTCTTGTTTACTTTCACTTGTTCCCAAGAAAGTAATCCATAATGTTATGCATACGATATCAGATCCCTGAATTTACTCAAATGAATTTTCTTCCATTCTCACACCTTTCTCCACTATTATTTTCCTGCAAGATTACTTTCAAAGACCCCTTCTAAAATGGGTAGAAACTGCACAAAAAGGATTTCTGCAGGCAAGTTTCTTGCCTAATTACTTACTACAGTATTCTGAAGACTGAGGGAGGTATTTCTACTGAAATATTTGTTAAAAAAAAAAATATTGACTGCCTCAGTTCTCCTCACTGAAATTTTTGTTGAAAATATTTAATTGTACAATTATGCTTGTACCTCTATACTCATGGTATAGAGTAGATTCATTCCTTGTCTATGCTGCAGCAGGCAGGTATTCTCCCAAGCCTTAAGTATTTCTAAGGCTTGGGGAAGCCTGTTGCTGTCCATAACAATCCCCAGCTGCTACAAAGATGACTTAAGGCTGTTGACATAACTTGAAGCAGCCACTTTAGCCAGCCCCAGCTGTGTTTCATCTATCTAGTTTATCTCAAGACCGGTTGAGAATGTAACCAAAGTATGACACAACAGCATGAAAAAAAGTATTTAGATAGTGTATGTCAGAGGATGACTGCATTTTTTAAATTGCTTTCATGAAAGTTATTTTGAACCTTTTAACCACTGTACTATTTTTACTACATATTCTATACTTTTGTTTCTTTTTTTTTAATGCGGCCCCACATATCCATACAAAGTGGCTGGGGAGATCTGGAAGTGATGAAAAGTATCTTTATACTCTTCCTTCCACTTCACCACCAAATTATGTTACATTAGTCATTCTTCCCTCTATATGTCAGTAATAAGGCCAACTTAAAAAGCAATTGAAGATACATTTACAGAGATGGTGTCAGCATTTTGGTTGCCAGTTGCGCAGAATTTTCTCTTCAGCCCTTCTGCTTAGAGTGAGGTCTGTCTCATGTCATTTATCTTTTCCTTAATTTAGCTTCAATTTGGAAAAGCTTGTGTTTGTATACATAAATTCATATGCATATTTAAAAATAGATTGATTAAATCATGCACTCTTTTTCAGCCTTGACTGGCTTTGTGACATCTTTGTGGTACGCTATACATATTCCTGGGATGCTGGGTCAGCTTTAAGAATTAATCAGATCCACAAGTTCAGCTTCTTCTCAGGAGGATTTTTCTACTAGCATATGTGTTTTGGATTACCTTTATCACTGGCCCTGTACAGATCTACTGGGAGAGCTACCACTGAAGTATGCTCTCTTGGCTGATACACAAGAGTAATTGATAATTTAATTTGCATTTCTTGAAAAAAACAAACAGGGTTGTTCCAAGTTAACACCTTTGTGGTGTTAGTACTACAGAAGAGAGCACCATAATCAACTTCCATCTAAACCATCACTCTTGTATTGACTAACCAAGCTGGACTGGCAGAGATGAAGGATATACTTCCCTACGGTAAACTAGATTATAACAAGGACTGTGGTAGCATTTACTCCTTTCAGGGCTCTTAGCTGTTTAATGACTGGCAGCAGTGATTGTACAGCTGTTCCTCTGAGGAAAACCAGTTCCTTGCTACACCATGGCAGTAGATTAAAGCGGTGGTCCAGCCCATGGAGTTCCTTTGAGAACATGGATGTTGAGAAATTGTTGGTGTCCAAAAGAAGAAAATGGGTGAAACATGACAACTTCAGAATCTTTCAGTATAAAGTCCATGATTCTCTGATAACATAATAATTCTGTCATCTAGCCTACTGTTTTGTCTTCTCTTTAACAGGATGACTTTCGTTATAATGACTTTAATATTTAATATCATAGTAGCTTTAATATTTAATATTTTTGTCTGTGTTTATAATTTATCATACTTTTTTCTCAGTAAAGTAGGTTCTGATACTCATTTTGTTCTTCTGGTACAGATTAAAGAGCACCTTGCCAAGGGACAGAGGATGTTGGCTGGTGATGGCATGTCCCAAGTAACCAAGACACTATTGGATTTAACTCAGAGGAAAAACTTTTATGCAGGGGACCTTCTTATTTCTGTGGAAATTCTCAGAAATGTTACAGACACATTTAAAAGAGCAAGTTATATCCCTGCATCTGACGGGGTGCAGGTAAGAGAAATGTTGTAAGGGTAATGTTTCAATTGATGGAGTTCATATCAGTATATTGCATGTTACCTATTTTACTCACTGAGGAAACTAAATCTTCTGAATGATAGGCATAAACATTGTTCACATAAAACTAAGTGTAAAATAGGAAAAGACTTAGCTACATTTAATAAGACAAATATCCAAAACAATGCAGCAAGGGAAAAACATAAAATCCTTTCTTTGTAAAATTTTCAGTATCTTTCTCTTTCAAGGTTTATTTGATTGATAGGGATGTGATCGTATTTTTTTGCACTAAGCAGTTCACTAGTGGTGTTTGTTCTGATTCATTTCACTTCAAAAATCTATCAGTTCAAATAAATAAAGATCATTAAAAGTGCATGAGTGATGGATAGTAAGTTTGATATGAATTTTCTACTTCATGTGTTCCAATAAGTCTTCTTGTGCAAGAAGCCAATTAAAATACTATCAGAGATAAAACCACTGTAATTATTTCTACATAACGGGCTGCACAACTAATTGTGTAATGTTCATTAAAATAAATATTTCAGAGGACTTCCAGATAAGGATATTGTTTTCATCTATATCTGAGATTTTTAGACACTTTTCAAAGACTGTAGAAGTACTGAAAAAGAATACTAAGAAGGTAGATGTATATATTATTTATGAAAAAGAGAGTTTTGTGATCACTCATAAATTAATAATGAAGTTATTAATGCAGGTCATGTGTGCATATTTGTTTTTGTAAAAGTAAGCATAGTTTATAAATACACTTTGGAATATATACATGCAGATAAATGGAGGTTTCTTGGAAAAGATAATTTTTCCAGAGTTAAGTTTTCAAGAGTTTGCTGTTATATTTCAGTTTTCTTGTTTTTCTGTGCACAAAGAAAAATGAACTTCCAAATAAAACCAAAGTTTCTTGTGTTGGCCTGTAGCCAGCTGAAAGTACTATTTTTTTAACAGTGCTTTTCAAAAAGTATTTGGCTGGAGAATCCTTTTTTTTTCTTTTTTTAATTGTATAAGAGTCAATACCTTTTCCTACTTTTAGTGAGTTTTACTATTAAACAGGGTGTTACTGAATTTTTTTCGTGCATTCAGCAGTCTGACAGCCCAATGTGACTTCTTCATGGTTCACTACAGAAATCTGTGGTAGAACCAGCATTGAGAAACTGCTTGGCACAAGTGATTTTGTTCATAGGCTTAGCAGATAATTTGCACTTTACATACATTAGAGAGAATTTGATTCTTTTCCCACTAATGACAGTGCCAAAAGTTCTGTTCCCTTCAGCAATGTAGAGCTGTTTCCAAAATATGTAATAGTATTCTGGCAGAACTTGGCAAAATGGTTAGTACTATTTTAATAACTTTTGATTAATCTTTTTGAAGTGAAGAAATGAGAAAAAGCAAAAATTGGTAACCCATGTTGTGAAGGAAATAAGGAAGGATTTCGCAAACCAAAGAAATAACTGTATTTCAGGATTTAGATGCCTAGATACCAAAAGCTCTTAAATCCCACTGAAAAAATAGGCACTGAAACTCAAAAAAAAAAAAAAAAGTTTAGCAAATTGCAAGCTAAAGTAAAACCCAAACCCAATGCATATTGTTCAGGAAAGTATGTGAAATCAGAATGAAGCATATGTTTTGCACAGGGGATATATTAAGCTATGTTCCTGTTACTGACTTCTGATAATATAAAATGAAATCTTGACTCAGTAACATCAATTTAAATTTTACTGTCAATTTCTGAGAAACCAGGATTTTCCCATACATAAACATATGTCATATGCTTCCATACTCTGGAGGATTGTATTTAATTTTTATTTTCAGTATCACATATTTTCATACTTTCTAGTCCATCATCAAGTAAGTGACAAAAAGCTGAAAATAAAATTAATTTGCACAAAAATACCAAGATTCTTCTTACTGAGGAAGCTCTGTGTGGTGTTCTAATTCCATTCCATTGGTTGCAGTAGATAAAGAGTAGAATTTCTTAGGTGTTAGGGTTTTTTTTAAAGAAATTCTCAGAAAAGCATGAGTGAGGTTTAAAATCCCTGAAAGTCATAATTTATTATGTCAGATGATGTCAGAAAAGTGGATTATGAATTATGGGTAATAGTATTTTTAAAAGTCCATACAAAAACCAGCACTTCCACCTCCGTTAAAACTGAGGACAGCAAAGTGTATATGTCTGACTGTATTTGTTTCTTATACATTTCATCCATCTGGATAGTTCCTCTACTGTCTACCATCTCTGGCTTATATCCAGTATTAATATTAATGAATAGTGCAAAAGATGTGATTCAGAGGCTCCATAACAAAAAGAATGAACAGAAAAGTGATATAAAATTTGAAAATTTCAGGCTAATTACTCAAGATGAAGATGCCACTCCCTGTTATGCTGCATAGAAGATGCCACTTGTTTAGGCAGACACATACCAAGGGCAAAACAAATCTTCTAATGTATGCATGTCTAGTGCCAAGTTATTTATTATATGACTGTTTCTTTTTGCATATTTTAACCTTTTTTGCAACAATATTTATGTATACATTGCATATACAGTGCATATGAGGCAGTTAAACAATATGGAAGGTATCCTGCATCAGTGACTGAAAACAGCAGTGCAGGAGCAGAAATAGCAGAAGACAAGAGTCATGCAATTATTCCACAAGCAAGGTCTTTCTCTTAATATGGGAATTACTTTAAAATACACTGTGTAGGTACACTGAGGCTATGAGATGACCACTAGGCTGTTACTCGTGTAAGAAGGATGCTACCTGGAAGATAATTAAATTTATAAATAAGCATTATGTAAGCAACATTTTGGGACACTTTCCAGAACTAGTTTAAGAGTGCTTGAACTACCTTCTAAGGACAGGAAGGCAGGAAAGGGACGACCTTTCAGGACAGGATGGCAAAGTGAGTTGTACAATCCCCTGATCCAGCAACCATCAGTAAACAAGGTTTCCCTCAAAGAAGTTAGAGCAGTATAATCCCATTTGTACTAGCCACAGGGACCATTGCTGTCAGTCAGGGATTAACAGGATTGCCCAATGCTTTTCTCCCCCTGCCTTCCCCCTCCCACACACACACTCTCTGTGCTGAAGTCCAAAGTGGAGGTGACTTAAGGCTATCCATTAATTCCTCCTAGGGAGGAATTCTTCTTTAGCTGTATAAAAGGATTTATGACAGCTTTATTCCTGCAGAGAGGGTCAAAGAACTTGGACTGGAACAGAGGACTGCAGCCATTGTATTACAGAAGAAAAAGATTGAAAGGAAGGAAATTAAATTAGGAAAACATAATTGTCCATTCCTGACTGTAACCAGTGTTATCCTCAGAAAAGCCTGGGCAAAAATAAAGGACTTCAAAATTTGGCTCTGGTTGTCACAGCATTTTCTATAGTGGCCAATTCAGTAATACATAAGCCCTACCATGAAAGGAAGGAGCTTGATTCTACAAGGAGGTCCAGTGTTTACTGCAGTAATACCATCAGATCCCATCCATAATGCTTCTAAAATTCATCCTTCATACCTGTCAATCATTTTACTAAAGGGCAATGTTGTTTCTTTCAGCATTAATGCAATGAACAAGAGAATAGTCAAAGTAGGTGAAAGACTTTTTAACCCCTATTCCCCTGTCACATTTTTGGAGTACATCTCATAACTATTCATCATTGAAGCAGCAAAGCCATTTAATCGTCTCTCTGTTTAATTCACAAAGCACCTGTATTGCTGACTAAAAAATCTTCATACAACACAGCCTCCACTGCTACCATAAATATGACATCAACCAGAAATAGAAATAGAGAAAAAAAAAAGATCTCAAGAAGCAAGATATTCTTCTCACTAGGTTCATATAGTCATTTATGGTTTATTGGCAAGTACTAAGTACATATTAGATGAGTTATTGCTCATCGTTTGTCTAGGATTATTTATAAACTTTTTCACATGTATTTCTATTAATTATTGGTCACTTTAATGCTGTCATGTAACTAAAATAAACATAAGATTTAATGAACATAACATTATTAGCAAAACCATGTAATTTATGATCTGCAAGAGAAATTTATACCTCCTGAGTGATTTTCAGGCAATATCTAGGCTACTCTCAGATAGATCTCATTACATGGACATGGATACTTTTGCAATTAAGGCTTAGACGGTTTCTGCAGGGGAATCAGTGGCTGCAATGTAGTGCAAAACTAGCTTTGAACCAGCTCCTTAGTATGATAAATTATCCCACGCTGAGCTCCACACTGCTGCAGCTAGACTACTGCTGGCACCCTAACAAGTTAAAGTTAGCTGAAATTTCTGTCCAGTCCATCTCCACGGTAATACACTGGAAAAAAGCAGAACTACTATGCTTTAAAAAGTGTTTTCCTCAGGCAAAACTCCCCTAAGGCCGACTCTGCCTGGTAGAACTCTTTGCCAAAATCATAATATCCTAGAGTAGATGTGGTTATAATGCCATGAAACTGCTTTGGCCAGTGTGGTTTATTTTACTTGAGGGACCAATAAAGCTGTACAATTTTCCTAGCTGAAGTTGCATTTATACAATTATGATTTCCTGACCTGGTTAAACTGGCAAATCCTTTGTAATGAATACTCAATGTAACTCTTTTCGTTATGCTTTATTTTACTACTGAATACCTGAAAGAGATTAAATGTATTCTTGGTATATAAGCAATAAATAGCTACATTTTCCCCTTCTTATCTTCAGTTTGACTGGAAATTTCCCTTCTGTATCACTACAAATTGGATCAAACCATGAGAACATTTTTCTTTTATGTCCTGTCTTTAATCCCCATCATCCTGTCCCAATGCATAGTTGTCATTTTCATAGGAGCTTGCTGAGCCATTTCCTTTCTTTTCATGAAGTTTTGTGTTACTGAAACTTATGGATATTTTGCTACTGACTTCAGTGAGAGGAGAATTGTGCCCTCATTAATGTACAGGATTATTTTGCCCAAGTTCACCAAAATGTCAGTCACCTCTATATTAAATTTGCCAAGTTAAAGCAATTTTTATCCATGTAAATTTTATGACTAGCATAATTAACTTCCTAATGATGAGGCAAAGATGTATCCTCTTGCTTGTCAAGTAGTTAGTGTTAAGACTACATTAAACTGGTAAAAATGGTTTTTATGTAAAAATAGTTTTCACAAGTTTTATTCGATTTTGTATCCAACAATGTTTTACTTATATGGTTGTGAGGCACCTAAAATGTCTGCAGTATCGTATTTTGAAATTAATGTCTTTTCAAGCACAACCACAGTACCCATAGTACACTAAGGCTGGAAGTTACTTCTGCTCTCTTTTCAGTCACTGTGCCATTGAATGTTTTGTACTTTCATTAAATAGCAAATTAAAGTTGCTTCTTACTGAAACCTTATTTAATCCCTATTTATCCCCCCAAAATGGCTAAAAAGTAAGTGCAGGTGAGGAGATAACCATTAATGTGAGTTCCAATAGGGTCCTATGGTTGGTATTCCACTTAAAGGTTTTTCAGAGGTCATGAGGATCTTAGTTGCACTCTTCAGCTAAGGTCAGTGGAAGCTAGATCTATCTTTTATAAAGGAACAGATAAATTATAGTTGACAAACTGTAGACAAAATTGACATTCTGCACAAAAAAAAGTGATACAGAGCTGAGAAGAACAGACTGCACAAATTTTTAGCTTTCGAAGATGAATAAATTGGGAATACAAATTGGTAGAGAGAGCAGACAAAATGAGAAAGTTCTCTATCAATGCTTGGAAGAAAGTGATTTTTTAAATGTGTGATTTAAAAGCTAAATGTCTTGGCTTTTCTTTGTTGTTTTTGTGTTTTGGTTTTTTTTTTTTTTTTTCCTTGTAGTTAAATGATTAGGAGAATCAGATAAAGAAATCAAGAGTTTAAGGTCAAAGAAACAGAAGTTAGCTCTTTCTTTTCTGCTGAAATTACTAAAAGCACAGAGGCAAATGTGATTTCTTAAAAGTAAGATGCACCTGGTTTCCCACAGCATTTATCAATGAAATACCATTGTATGCCCTATTTATGGTCATTAAGGATCATTTTCATGTTTTAAATAGAAAGTAGTGACACAAGCCCAGTGTTTTCTTAGTGTACTTTGTTTATTTGCAAAATATATAGCTGTCTAGTTCCTGGAATGAGAGTAATTTGAAAATAGAACACCATCACATTTAGAAGTTTAGTGAGTTTAAAACTATTTTTATTTTATACAGTAGTATGTAGCATGGAACATGATTATATAGCCAGAAATTAACAATTAACCATAAAATATATGTGTCCTTTTATCAGTCTAATATATTATTTTGTTATCTATTCCACTGACAGAAAGTAGGCTGCAGAACTGCATCTGTAATAGAGAAAGGAAAACTTTCCTAATGTCAATTTAAGGATATGACTGTTCATGCCACTGAAACTCATTTTACTTTGTCTTTTATTTAATTGATTTTTCAGAACTTTTTTCAAATCATTAGTAACCTCTTAGATGAAGAAAACAAAGAGAAATGGGAAGATGCACAACAGGTAAGATTTGCATTTTGTAACTCAGCAGTTTAAAAAATTGGAAACTGTGTGTTATGGCACTCGCTGTGTCAGAAGCCACATATTATTTCCGTAAGTCATGCTAAAGTGGAACGTATAGTTTCAAAAATCAGATTAAACATACATCCTGCTGTAGGTGAAAGGAAATGCTAAGTGAGAAATCTTTTGGAAATAACTGATCCTTTTCAAAAAGTAATTCCAGGACCCGTTGGCTAATTCCTTAGATTAAAATTATATTAAGAATATAAGGCGCTTCTCTTAGTGAACAGATTTCCATTACATTCCATGGGATTTTTCATTATGTCTTTCTTTTTGATGTTGTAATGAAGTACATACTAAAGCTGAAAAATGCTACTAAAGGCTAGCTGCAATGATGCTTTTATTAAACAGAAAACATCAGAGCTCACCTAAAGAACACATACAACACCACCAAAGAACTTAGAGAAATTCAAACAGTAGACCTTTTTTAAAAGGTTGTATTTAGAACAGTTGTGATCCTTAAGATTGACAAATTTTGAGACTAAATTATATACTATGATAGCACTTTATGAAATATTAAAGTTTAACAAACATCATTAATTTATGATAAAAGAGTTTAAAATTCTAATGAAAACCATTTTTTTTGCTTGGATATAAGTATTTCCTACATACTTATACCAAGAACATTTAAGGACAATGTGAATATTTATGTTCATGAACATGACCATAAAACTGTCAAATTTATTCAGATACAAACAACAGTGACAATGGGGATGAACAGATAATTATGTACAGAGAAGAAATTGTGGAGGTAGTCAACTATTTCTATGTGAAGAGTGATTAAGCAAAGCAGATATTTCAGTATGGGAAAG